GAATGTGTGGGATGTCTCAGAAGAGAGCAGGAGGAAGAAAGGGGGTGAAGGAGCTCGTCATTAGATGGCATGGACCAGGAGCACGTGGCCAAGAGAAATTTTCCATAAGAACATACTAATGGAGCAGAGTCTGCCTGGGAGTCATCAGATTGGCAAGTTACAGGCATTTCTGTAGGTTTTAAAGGTAGTAGGAATAGAACAGCTCAGAACCTGTCCAGCATAGTGCCTACAGCTTAATAAAATAAGTGTTTTGATGTTTACTTGGGAACTAATATGAAAAAGGTATGGTAGATACCCTCCAATAGATACCAGAAGAACAAACTATGCCCCCAGAAAAATAATTTTTGATCTAGTATACTCTTTTAATGCCAGCAATAGAGAAGCAGAGGTGGGCAGATCTCTGAATTCAAGGACAGCCTGTTCTACAGAGTGAGCTCCAGGACAACCCAACTCTGTCTCACAGTCTGTTCCTCTGCTGAACTGTTCTTTGGGGTTGGAGAGGTGGGTGATGGTACCATGGATTAAGAAACATATTAGGTCCTTCCTCTCCTTTAACACTGAGTCTACAACTATGACTCCTACTGCTGCAATTAGCGTTCCTATCATTACACAACTGTTTCCTGTTTGGAAGGCAGCTCAGTAGTAAAACACTTGCCAAGCGTGCTCACGGCCCTCAGCTCCATCCCTAGTACTACAGGACTAGGTCTTGGCCATGCTGTTATGCAGGCCGGCTTCAAACTCTTGGATTAGGATAATTCTCCTGTTTCAGCTTTCGAGCAGCTGATGCTAACATACAGGCAGTCCTACTAGCCTGCCTTTCAGGGGCCTAGAAACCTCTGATATCATCATTTGATGCCAGTCAAAAGGACCTGCTACCACCCCATGGTCTCTTACTCTCTTACACTCTCTCTTGGTCTCTGTCTCTTTCTCTCTTTGTCATGGGTTTACTCCTCTTTCTCCCTCGCTCCTCTCCCCCCCCCCCGTTGTACAATAAATCTCTTTATATCAGACCTGTTGTGTGGCATATTCATCATTATTCTAACAGTTGGTACTACAGTGTGTGTGTGTGTGTGTGTGTGTGTGTGTGTGTGTGTGTGTGTGTGTGTGTGT